CGGATAGGGTGTTCATTATACGGCTTAGCTGGCCTATGATTGGGCAGAAACAGTCCGGCTTCCACAGAAAAGTGTACCTTCTTGACATACTACTCTGTTCCATATCTTTTGCAGCATATCATTTTTTTTTACTTTTTATCTTAGCTGTTGTAAGCAACGGTAATTTATATACATACTTGTAGTTTGTATACTAATAATAGAAATAGTATAATAAAATAAATCCTAAATATTACGGATGAAAAACCAGTAACTTGGATGCCTTTGTCGACACCTTTTCAGGACGAGTTAACCCATTCAGGCCATGCCAACACTGTGGCGATCTTACTAGAGGTCATGTTGATCTCTGGTAACATGGGAACCTAATGATATGCACTTTATATACGCAAATGCTCAAAATACAGAGCCCCAATCGATCACAAACTTGGAGCGACCTCACGAGCACATCTGGATACCTAGATGAGCTGCGACTGGATAGGGAGAGGTAAGGACATCACACGAGCATGCAGTCTTAAGCTTACAAAAATACAATCACTATCGACTGTACACCGTAAGATTTTCTGGTTTGAAAAATAAGGTCACAAAGTTTTGGGGTCATGACGCACTTAACTACTTTGACTTTCCCGGAACATGAGGTGTCAAATCAAAGCTGGAATGTGTATCTATCAAATGAGCCAATCCGCTTGTGATTACGAGGAGAAATGTAAAATTTAGTCCAATCAGAAGTCAAGTGCTGCAATCATTATGGAACAGAGTGGTACAAAACATCGAGACATACAGTACAGTGAACTTGAAAAAAATTCGCAAGTGCTGGCTGTACTCGATAATATTAATCATCTGATCCACGCCAAAGCAATGAAGCAAGCGAAAATACTGAAGCAAATCAAACTTAGTCTGTGATTGATTGGGAAATTTGTAGCTCTGTGATTGGTCCGATTTGATAACTCCCACAGTAACAGTATGTGTTTGAATTTTGAATGCCGACCGCAATCCTCCCTCAGCACGTCCAAACGTGTACACTATCGCTGCGAGACTGAACTCGTCTTAGCCTAGGATATCCATGAACTATTGAATTACGAACTGGTGGGACCTTCTGTCATCCTCGAGGACAACCTGACATATTCATACTCCTCGCGCGAAACGTTGGGTGAAGAGCTAAATGGTGTTTTTGAGCCGCTTCCATCAAATTCTAGAAGTGTCTGCCAAACTCTACATGTCGGCGTCATGTGTCTGTTGAAGGCTAAGTTGCGTTCAAGGTGGCTTCTCGAGCGTCCTGTGCTAACTTCTGCAGAAAAGAGGATGAAAATGATATAGAGAACAATTAGTTCGTTGGAGTCGAGCGAATCGTCCGTGAAAGGTCTTTTGAAAAGACACTTCCAATGATTTTTGAGCTTTGACAAAGATAACCAAGCTGTGAAAAACGAATATTTTTGGTGTCAAGATTGCCAATCAAATGACACCAAGGTTTCAGTCATAACGTAAAAAACCAAGTTAAGAGCAACTCCACCGGAATAAGATAACTTTTTTGGATGTCGGAGTAGAATGGACATAACTTTTGCGTCCGTTACGATATTTGAGTTTTGAATAGTGATTCCAATAGACAAGACGCGCCGCTTTGACTTTATAATCGAATTATCAGTTTAGGCGATGAACTTCACAGGGAGATGAAGGAACAGGCCGTGAATTTAACATTGCGATCCACTACTGTTAACGTGTAAACGGACATTGCCGTGATGATCACAGAATTGCTAACTTCTTTCGTCGACAAACTGATGATTTTGCGCTACTTGCACTACTCGGTCGGAGTGCAGCAGGCATATTGTTGTCCGTGCGTTGAACGGTGCCCCAGCGTTCCACGTCAACTGGTCCTCACAAGACATCGAAGTTAAATCGGGATTGACGGGACACTTCTGTGGTCTCAAGACGAAAGTCTGGCTGGAATATGTTGTGAACGTATGCGTGGCTAAACGGCCAGATGACGCGAAGGTTATAATCGAAAGTTGGCCAGGTGGGGCTGCTCTTTTCATCTTCGTCGCCGCCTAACTCCAATATGTCGTAGAAGATAGCATACAAATCTATCTTTTCAACCTGTGGGTACGCAACTTACAAATCATTCCACTCTAATATATCTGTAGAAGTCTCGTCGATTGTTGGTGGGCCATAGCGCAATTTGTCAGTTTAATGCATGGGAGCGCTTTAGGATAGCATTAGCAGCTGTAGCTCTTGTTTCTCTCACGCATGAATCGTAAACTTCAGTATACACAAGTGCGGTCAACTTTACATGTGTGATGTACTTTTTTCGTATTGCTGTATGTGCAATGCTGCAGTCATTACAATGAGTCGTCATGACAATAATCAATTCTGACAAAACATATAAATCCTTGCGGTAGTTCGGCAGTTGAAATCTTGCGACGATGCGTAAAAACGCGTATTCGTTCAAAACAGAAATGACAGACAAGACACGCACCACCATCGAGGCCCCCGCACCTGGCGCTGACGTGTCAGAGCCAGTGGCGGAAGTGGCAGTCCGTAAGTCGTCTCGGAGTCGTGAGATTGCCGCCAAGAAACTCAGCGCAGCCACAGACACGTCGGCCGCCACCTGTGCTGCCACGCTGTTTTCGCTCCCGTCGTTATACACATCTTTCAACCGCACGACGAATGGCGGCCTACTGCACATAATGGAGACTAACGGCCTTACCGATCATGAGACCATGAGCCGACCTCTAAAAAGGCTAATAGGTCTTTCTGCAGCGCCATGCAGAACACTTCCCCCTAAAGGGAGTGTCCGAGGGTCTTCTCGAGTTCCGCAGCCAATTTCTTCACTTCTTCTTGGTCTTCATGTTGGTGAACCCAGCGGCGGAAAACGATGGGGATGTCTTCATAGAGGGAGTGCACGGGCTCCCATGAGGCTTTGTCTTCATCGAGGCCAAGCCAGTAGACGAGGGTTTGGTATTCGCCGTTTTCTTTGCGGACGTCGCCGAGCTTGGCCACATGGAACCCTTCATTGCCAAAGGTAATATGGTCGGCTAGGTCTTTGGTCACATCGCGGCCGCCTTCGCAATACATCTTGAGTCGGCAGGCGTGGTGGAGGGACAAGTCGTAAGGCTGTACCAACTGATGGGTCTCCATGACATAGTCAGTCACGACCCGGACGATCTTGCTTGGCCCGCGCCAGTGCAGGGACAATTTGTTGCCTTGGCGGGACACTTGGCCAACGAGGACAAAGTCGCCGATCGTAAACTTCTGCAACTGGATGGCCTTGGACTTTACTTGGTGGTCGGGAGCTTGGCGTCGCTTCTTCGCGCTTGTCGCAGCCACGTTGCGGTACAGCTAGTCCATCGCTTCATGCAGCTCGTCCATGTGCTTCTTCGCGTGGGGTCGAGCCAGTCAATGTTGGCGACTTCCTTGGTCACGGTATTGACAAACGCTGACAGGGGCGTCGTCGCAGGCCAGTAAAGGCGGTGGCCGGGACATGCCGCTAAGTCGGTCGCTTGGCATGTGGTTCAATGCGCCTTGTACCAGAGCAAGGACGAGGTGCCAGTCGGTCGCGCGCAGCTTCAACTAGCTGGTTAGCGTCTTGACGGCGCGGAGGATCAGTCGGTTGACTACTTCAACGGTTCCATTTGCCCAGGGACAGTAGGCGGTCGTGAAGTGGTGGTGGGCGCCGGCGGTCTTGCGGATCTTGTCGATGACTTCGTTCTTGAAGTGGGAGCCGCTGTCGGAGACCCAGGTATGGACATACCATACCCAAAGGTCGTGAACCAGTCGAGGAGGCCGTTGGCGGTCGCCGATGCGTCGCTTGTCTCGCTGGGCCAAAGTCGCACGAACCCGCTCATGTCGTCCTTGATGACGAGGATCTTCTGCCACCCGTTCGTCGCCGTGGGCATGGATAGCCAGTCGAAGTGGATCAGCTCTTGGGACTTCTCGGCATGGAGCGCCGATCCAAGCGGGCGCGGGACAACTGAGTCGTCGACGCTGAGGCAGTGGATGCAGGCTTGGACAAAGGTCTTGACATCGTCTTCGAGGGTGCTCTAGGCGAAGACATCGCGGACGGCCTTGGTCGTAGCTTCGATTCGACGATGGCCCGCGGCGCCTTGGTGCGCTATGACGCAGACCCCCTGCTGGAGGTGCGTGGCACTTGGTGGGATCCAGATGCGGTCTTCCTTGCCGATGAACAGGTTCTTGTCTTCATTCCACGCCACGCCGGTTGGCGGTGTCTCTCCCCTCTTCACGGCCACTTGTTGGGTCTTGACGATGCCGACAGGGCTGGGCCAGTCGAAGTCGGGCTGCTACAGGGGCGACACCATGGCCAGGAGGCGCCGGACGGACTTCGTTGGCACTTGGGCTTGGGCGGCGCTCCAGCGGCTGAGCAGGTCGCCCCACACATTGTCTTCTCCGGGCAGGCACTCGATGGTGTAGGG